CTTCTCATAGCTAAAATCATTTTGAAGAATATGAAGCTAATTCGAGTCACCTTCTTGCTTTGTGCACTAGCTATTTCTTTGCTTTTTACTCCAATCTCTTCCTTACAACTTAACCCTCGTTACTCATCTCCTAGCCAAGGTGATTAAGTTTGTTTCTTTTTCTTTTTAATAACTCGCAAAGTTTTGAGTATTAAGTTTGTTTCTTTTTCTTTATTTTGGGATAGATAACAATCCGCTGCGAAAAATTGGTTTTTTTTTTTTTATGAATGTGAACTCAAACTTATGAATGGTGAAAATATAACGTCTTGCCTACAAGTTGATTAACCCATGCAACCATTCAAAACTTAGATCTCTATTTTTTCCGAATCATATAAATGAGAATAATTTCTAGATGTACTCTTGACTCTGGCGAAACTCTTTTTCTAATCGATTGAACTAACTGACTTTAGTTACTACAATATAGGTTCAAGCGGAAAAAACGCCATCAAAATGGCGTCGCGGAAGCTCATGATCATCTCTAATGAACATGTAAATGTAAGAGATTGATGTTTATATGTGCACATTTCTCTCCTTAAAACTATACGGAAATGTTTCTAATCAAATTTCTATGTGTTTTGCAAATGAACAGGTGATGACGTCAACAGTTCATGAAGGTTCAAGCGAACAACATCAAGTCACTTCTTTTGGTAAATCAATCATTTGGAAATGATAAGCTTTATTTGATATGTAAATTAGTATTATTTTCTCAAAAAAAATTGATAATTAGCAAAACTCATATATTTTTTTGATCAAATATAAGCACACTTTTATAGTCAAACGAAGTCCAAAAAATGCATATATATAAGTCAAACATATGAATCTTTGACCATGTCAGGAGAATAGCTTAATCAATTATCAATGTTGTTTTTTTCTTTCTTCTTCAGAATTTTGTTTTTAGTTGCATGAATATAATTATAATTAGTCATTTGCAGGAGCATCAAGCAACATAAATAATTAAAATTAAACGAAAAGATTCGAAATCTCTATGACTCTATTAAACTAAAAAATTGTTTTATGTGATGATTTGTATTAAATCTCGTTTATGTGTTTTTTGTCACAGAGAAATCT